CCTGGCAACAAGAGTGAAACTCCATCTCAAAAAACAAAACAAAACAAAACCAAAAAAAGATACCCATGAAGACCAATGCACCTTTATTTGTTACTTTAAAAATTATGTTGAATTAAGTATATATACATATTATAGGTTGTTTTAAAAATGTTTAGTTAAAAGAATAAATCTGGTTTAAAAATTATAGGAAAACATAAGCTGAAACTCATAGGTCTAGTGTGGTAAAATGTGGGTGGGAGGGAAAGGCTTAACTGTTGATCATGGCAATCAATTCAACTCACATTTATTCTGCCCTGACCCTGTGTCTCTGACTGTGTGGGGTACTTGGGAATCAAAGAGGAGGTTGAGACCCCTCTCAGCCTAAAGGTTCCTGGGAGAACTGATGGAGAGACTGATAACCTGTGAAAGCAACTGCCGAAAAGTCAAACCACATTAATAATGAAGAGCTCCAGAAAGGAGTCATTTATTCTGAATTGAAAATCAGGGAAGTTCTTGCAGATGGGGTGACCATTGAGTCAGACTTTGAGCAGATTTTCAGTAGACTATGGTGGCTTCAAGGGCAGAGGAAATCACGTGAATCAGGCACCACTGTGGAGGGGAAGCAGAGGGGTGTTGAAGGAAGTGGATGAAGCCCCAGGGAGGAGTCGCTGGAGAGGGCTCAGAATAGCCCGGAGTCGGACTGTGAACACCTGATTCTAAGAAGTTGGTGTCTAATTCTACAGAAAATAGGAAAGCAGCCAAAAAGCTCTCTTTTTTTTAATACCAGAGGGAAGCACCCATGGCAGTGTCCCAGTCCGGGTGGGTGCAATAGGGGGCTGCAGATGAAAGGGGGAAGGGCACCTGGGCCTCCTGGAACTGGCAGCCAAGTAGCTGCACTAACACATCTCTGAGCTTTTTCAGCAAAGACAGAGTTGAGAATTCTAGAAATGCTGACTGGCTAGACACGGGGGGGAGGGGGGCCCTTTGTTTCCTGAAATTCCTGCACATATAATGCATGGTTTCCTGGAACAGGACCTATATTATAGGTTTGGCTAATAATTCAGTCCTTTCTGACTAGGGAGTAAGACTTGACGTTTTTAGTTTTTGGTGACAATTAAGAGCTAGCTATACAAGCACTAAAATTATAGTCTCATTTCCAAAATAAAATTACTTAAGATGGTGGCAATTCCACCTAAATTCTCTAAATAATGCTCTGTATGTTGTTGATTTATGCTGCCAAAGAAACAATATTTTCCTTGCTGGTGGCACAAAGCCAGGTGAAATAACTAACACATCAGCTGACAGAATCTTAGATTCACAAAAATCTCCACAGGCTTATGCCCACAGGCTCAGTCTAAGAAGAAGAAATTACAGAGATAAATGCCAATCTTTGAACAGAGATAAATTACCAAATGCATAAACGCAGGATGGAAGAAACCTAGCTTTAGCCTACATAAGAGGTCTTAGAGTTTAAGTTGGTCTCAAGTTCTGTGTGCACCAGCAGTGACAGCTGCCAGTGTACCCTGGGAGCACAGGATGCAGAATAGAGGTCAAATGTCCAGAAGAGGAAATACGATAGTTAAGTGTATTCTGTGCCAGTCATTCCCCACTTATAGTATTTTGCCCAGTTCTGAGAGTCACATTTTACTAGTGATGTCATGTGAGGAACTCCCAGGAGCTTGGGATATGGAAGGTGAACCTGGGGTGAAGGTGGCAGGGGAGGCACCCTGGTGCTGCTCTCCATCTCTGGGGGTCGGCACAGATTTGTTCTGTGCAGCTTCAGAGGACTACGTGAGTTTGCAGAGAGAAATGTTGTGACTCAATACATCAGAAGGTTTCTCATCAATTTTCCAGAACAAATGGACTGATTTATGAGATCAGCTCCTTGTCATTGGGAATCCGTAAGCAAAGGCAGGTCAAAAACCTATTTGTGGGGAGGGGGACCTTTGCACTAGGGTGGAGGCTCGACTCTCTGCCTAAGCATCTGTGATTCTGGAATGATGGCACATGGCCCTGTGCACACTGAAAGTGAAAGGAAATGGGCTTGCTAATATATACACGGACAGATATTTCTCTCTCTCTCTCTCTCTCTCTGTGTGTGTGTGTGTGTGTGTGTGTGTGTGTGTGTGTGACCTGGTGGTACTGTGGATTTTAGTTCTTGCCTTTAATCTTATACACTAAAAATCTTAAATTTCGATCCTAAACCACACTTAGGAACAATATACAGAAAATATGTTTACTAGTTACGCTTCAGCATAAAGGGAAGATACATGTATAGGTCAATTGCTAATTTCCTAATTTCAAAAAATAATAAAAGAAAATGGTCTACATAATCTCATGGTTACAGCTTAAATAATTAGTTCTTGTCATTTGTATTTCCTAAATGATAATTCATACTGCATAAAGTTTGACATTTATGACGGTGATTGAGAAATGCAAGAGTTGTTATTCACATGAAACATGAAAAAGATTCTTTCTAAAGCTGTCATTTGGTATCACATCACCACACAGTAGATCAACTGAAATAAGCAGCAGCGTGCAAATGTCAAAGAATCTGCTCTCACCTCACTGTAGTTGATTTTGTTCGTTCTTGCCAACATAATTTCTGGTGTGTCAGGCATTATGTGTATCTGCGTCTTGTCTTTGTCCCAGGCTTCTGTGTATAAACGCTATCAAAGAAAATACACAAATTCATCAGGAAAAAAGTTCTGTGTAGAGTTAATAGGAATTTTAGGGCCACAAAAACTTTAAAAACAAAAAAAGAAAAGGTTATGGATCTTATACACATTATGTGTTTTATGCACATCTTTAAGTAATAAGATCATAGTGGAACATGTACTTATAAATGCCTTATAAATCTGAAATGTATGTTAACAATTAAAAGGAAAATGAGAATAAGCATATTTTATGCAGATTATTTTTTCATAAAATATGCCACTTTATCAAAACCAGGAAACAATAACTGAAGTAAATATCAAAATATACATGATATATATCAGTTATTAATAGATGACAAGCCAATAGATAGACAGACAGATAGATGCTTTTTATTGCTCAATGCTTTCTTTCCTCATTAATGTTTCTTTTGTGTTGATTCAGCTTTAGGGGCCCCACTTTGATTCTCAATTTTGAAGTCTCACCTTGTTCATAGTGATGGCATTATTTTTGGCCAACACTTGTTCCAGAGAGTCAGTCACACTGGTAAATTTGAATGTGTCTGGAGGCTGGCGATAGATTTTATCACTCAAAATTTCAGTTGCCCTTTTGCATTTTTCCACATCCAAAGAGCCAATGGGCACCCAGCCGATGCCTCTCATCCACTGGAGATCAGACTTGTACATATTCTGTTGACACAAATAGTCAATAAATATTTATCTCTGTGTTAGCAACGCATTTTCTTTTTCTTTTTTTCTTTTTTTTTTTTTTTGAGACGGAGTCTCTCTCTGTCCCCCAGGCTGGAGTGCAGTGGCGCGATCTTGGCTCACTGCAAGCTCTGTCTCCCGGGTTCACGCCATTCTCCTGCCTCAGCGTCCAGACTAGCTGGGACTACAGGTGCCCGCCACAGCGCCTGGTTAATTTGCATTTTCATCTGAAGGATAAGATATCAAGTAAAAGCATTCTCAAAATTTAGTTTGGTGGATGGGCCAGGTATCACACAACATTCCATTTCGGTCTGAAAGGATTAAAATACCTATGGATAAAGGCATGCTATTTGCCTCCTGCAGGGGCTGGTGAGCTTGTGCCATATATTGCCATTTTCTCCAAGGGGTGTTAAATAATTTCCCACCTCTGCACGTTATTATGACTCTCAGTACTCACATCGCTCTGGAGGTCATAGGCCTGCCGAGCATGGATGACGTCGCTCTGGTCGGGCAGGCACGTCCACTGGTGCAGGTAGTTCTTGTAGTCCACGTCGCTGACTAAGGTCTGGCACTTCTTGGCCAACACCACCCCCAGCATGTCTACTGGGCTACTGAACTTGGTCTTCCACTTCTCAAAGTCCTTCTTATACTCCCTGTCACTCTGGATCTTGGCCACATGCATGGACCACATCATCTTGGGGTCATCATGTATAGCTCGGGCACCAATGTGGTGGCCAAGCTGCTTACGATAGCCTTCTTTGTACTTGAACTAAAAGAAGAAAAAGATAATCATCGGCTTTAACTTTTAGTAAAAAGTAATCACTAAGCGTAACTTTCTCTATTTAAAAAAAAATTTCCCTGAATATATAAATTATATGATAGATGTAGAAACCATTTAGAAAATAAATGAAATATATGTCATATATCATCACATATGAAATATATCTCTTATATAAAATATATATCATATAAATAGGCATTACTTTAATACATTCTTTAATGTTAAAGTCATTCTATTAGAATTTAGAATTTGTTTTTAAAATATTTAATTTTCAGATGTATAAGTTTCAGGAGATTATGCTGCAATGACAATGACAATAAAAATGAAATTCTCCTGCATGGCTTTTGTATGCTCACTGATCCAAAATTTCATTGAGTATCTACTATGTGTCAAGCACAGTTCTAGATAAGCAATGCAGATTCAATAAGAATTTTCTTTGCCTGCAAAGAGTATCTGTATATTTATACACAGGAAAAAAAGAAAATTTAAGATGTCATTCTGCCACTAAAATAATTCTTTATGATTCGTGTGTGAAAATATAATTAGAATAGAAGTCATACTGTATATGCGTTTGTGCCTGCTCTTTTCAGTTATTATATAAGCATTTCTATGTGTCACTAAATAGTCTTTGCACACATGACTTTCCTTTTTTTAGAAAGCATCTCTCTCTGTTGCCCGGGCTGGAGTGCAGTGGTACAATCGTGTCTCACTGCAACCGCCAACTCTTGGGCTGAAGTGATCCTCCCGCCTCAGCTTCTGAGTAGCTAGCACTACAGGTATGTGCCACCACACCTGGCTAATTTTTAAGTTTTTTGTAGAGATAGTGTCTTGTTATGCTGACCAGGCTGGTCTCGAACTCCTGCCCTCAAGTGATCCTCCCACCTTGCTCTCCCAAAGCACTGAGATTACAGGTGTGAGCCACGGTGCCTGACCTATACGCATGATTTTTAATGACAGCAGGTATTTTATTATATGGTATTTAACCCTTCTGTGATTGTCATTTATTCTTAAATTATGATTACTTCCCATATTTTGGAAATAAAGAAAAAAATCTAGAGTTTTTAATTTTTTTTAACTTCATAGACAAAAGAAATGGAAAGATAAAAATTTTTAGAAATGTGAGCAAATCCTTTTTTATTATACTTTAAGTTCTAGGGTACGTGTACACAACGTGCAGATTTGTTACATATGTATACATGTGCCATGTTGGTGTGCTGCACCCATTAACTCGTCATTTACATTAGGTATATCTCCTAATGCCATACCTCCTCCCTCCCCCCACCCCACGACAGGCCCCAGTGTGTGATATTCCCCACCCTGTGTCCAAGTGTTCTCATTGTTCATTTCCCACCTATGAGTGAGAACACGCGGTGTTTGGTTTTCTGTCGTTGCAATAGTGAGCAAATTCATCTTTTAAAGAAAGTAAATATTTGTAGCCCACAACTGGATATGAAAACAAACATATGTTCCATAGGAATCATTGAACTTTGAATAATGTGTCCTATAATTCAGCCCTTGTAGATTCATTGGTTCATACAGCATAGGTTGGGTTTTGAAGGAACCCTACAATAAGTTCAATTGTATATGAGAAATGCATCATTGGAAAAGCCAAAAAAATTATATGAACTATAGTCAAGTATCTAATACTTTTGTTCAGCAAGAAAACGGACATGTTTTGAAATGTATGTTGCTATGGACTCAACCATAACTAGAATTTGGCCTTTGTGTTGATAACTCTATTACCATTATTTTAAACCATTCATTGAAACAACAAACTGTTAGCAACAGCTTTAACCTCATGGCTTACTTGTGCCACTCTAAATCCAGGAGAGAGAAATAAATCTTTGAGCTACAGCTAAGGCAAAGAACTTTCCAAGTATACTTACTTCACTTGCAATATCTCTGGAGGCCTTGGCTGCCTTGATAGGAATGGCATCTACCCGCATATCATAACCTTTCCTCTTGGCTTCTTCTAGGCCAAGCTTATATAGTTTCTAAAACAGACATTGATAATAAGTTAGATTTAGAAAGTGCATTGTAAGGAAAATGTATCCTGCACTATGAATATATTGCTTACCTCACTGTAATTTACTTTGTTTTGTTTTGCTAATAAAACTTCAGGGGTGTCTGGCATAATGTGGACAGTGGTTTTATCCTTATCCCAAGCTTCTGTATAGAGGCGCTAAGAGAAACAGAGAGACATGACTGGTACAGGCCAGTAATAAATAGATACATGCAGACAGTCTGATTTTTAATGAGAATCAAGAAATTCAGCTCAGTGAATTGGTATTTGTGACATTTTCAGGTCTAGATGTCTTGTGTCAATAAGAAGCACAATTCTTTAAAACCACATTAGTACCAAGCAAAGGAATCAAAAATAAGTTTTCTTTTATAGAAACAGATTTCAGTGTTTCCATAAACAAAAAAATTAATAACCTCCTCAAACAAAGATAAGACTTACATGATTCATGGTAATAGCATTGTTTTTTGCCAAAACCATTGGTATGGAATCCATAAGGCTGGAAAACTTAAATTTATCTGGGTGCTGACGGTAAACATGGTCACTCAAAATCTGGGTGGCTCGTTTGTTTTTCTCATCCTCGAGAGAACCACTAGGCATCCAGCCAATGCCTTTTAGCCACTGAAGGTCTGACTTGTACAAATTCTGAAAGTGCAAGTGACAAATTTGTCATAATTAAATCATTTATCATAATTTGTCATAATTAAATCATTTGCCCCTAAATAAAAGTTCATATTATATTATATATATTTTTAATACTTGAATTATTAGAAAATTCTAAATTTTTGGTATGAATTATAAATCAACAAAATGTTCAGATTAAAAGCGTATTTTGAAAAACATTTTAAACAGAAGCAGATAGAAAATGACTCAATCCTTTGATTGTCTAGCTCAACAATCTAGAGGCTTCCACCAAAGCAATGGGTCTTTGCTGGGTCTTTGTGGAATAATGTTGCCTCCAGATGTTTGGGTGACTAGATGGGGCTTGGGCATTAGTCCAGGGTAATTGTGTAAACTCAACTCCCCTCATGACGGGACTCTGATACTTTAAAAAGCAGACATCATATTTTGTTGGCCAAAGGAAAATCTTAGACTCACGTCGCTCTGGAGGTCATAGGCCTGCCGAGCATGGATGACATCACTCTGATCGGGCAGGCACGTCCACTGGTGCAGGTAGTTCTTGTAGTCCACGTCACTGACTAAAGTCTGGCACTTCTTGGCCAGCACCACCCCCAGCATGTCCACTGGGCTACTAAACTTGGTCTTCCACTTCTCAAAGTCCTTCTTGTACTCCCTGTCACTCTGGATCTTGGCCACATGCATGGACCACATCATCTTGGGGTCATCTTCAATGTTCCGGGCTCCAATGTGGTGGCCGAGCTGCTTGCGGTAACCATCTTTGTATTTGTACTAAAGAAAAAAAAATGTGTCTTATTCCTTTCAAAATTAACTTCTGTTGCCATCTTTGTGGCAAATTACAAAGCGCATTAACTCTAAATATTTTACTAAGCCTAGAGAGCCAAAGACTTCAGTCTTTTGATAAGAAAGATTAAAGGCTAAATTCAGCTACGAAATTCCATACATAATAAATGCATCCTTGATCTTATCCTCATCCCACACTGCATGGGATCATTTTATTCCATTGTAATTTGTTGCCCCTTAGATTTTGTTCAATTTGAAATTAAATTGAGACTGCTTTGAAGTGACAAATTGCAATCAAATCAATATCAACAAAGGATAAAATCTTACTTCACTGGCAATTTCCCGGGAGGCTTTTGCTGCTTTGATTGGTATGGCATCAACAGGAAGATCATAACCTTTTCTCTTCAGCTCCTCATAACCCATTCGGTAGAGTTTCTGTTAAGAAATGAAGATCACTATGTTCCCCATAGACAAATATAGCATAATGATCAAATGTGCTAAATATTTTGAGTCCATGAGAGTAGCATCTGTGCCCTAGAATACTCAAATGTAATTAGAAATTATGCCCATTGATTGCTAATGATCCTGTTTTAAACTTTAAAGCTCTTCAATTACCTAAATCAGCAAAATTGTCAGCTCTTCCCAAATACAGTCATGCATTGGTTAATGACAAAGATACATCCTAAGAAATGTATTGTTACGTGATTTTGTCCTTGTGGGAACATCACAGAGTGTACTTATGCAATCCTAGATGGTACAGTCTACTACACACCTAGGCTATATGGTATAGCCTATTCCTCCTAGGCTACAAACCTGTAGAGCATGCTAGTATAGGCAACTGTAACACAATGGGAAGTATTAATATTTGTGTATCTAAATATGGCTAAACATGGAAAAGATACAGCAAAAATACAGTATGATTATGGTACTATGTTATGGGACCACCATTCTGTATGTGTGCCTTTGTTGGCCAAACTGTTGTTATACAGTGCCTGTCTATACTTGCAAGAATCAGGCAGAAGTAAAACAATAGAGAAATGAAATGGATTATTATTTAAGTGCTGTTTCTCAATTCACATTGGCTGTTTCATTATAAGTTTTTGCTAGAAAAGAGCTATGGCTTTTCATCTAATTATTCTAATGAGAAAAAATCATGCCTAAGGGGTTATCTCTTCCATGTAGCTGATGCATTGTGAAATAGTCTGTCTCCCAATATGGGACCATCCAAAATAGGATCCACATCTATAGGTAAGATGCTGAGTCCACCATAATTTCTAAAACTTAAGATGTTTTGAAGAAAGTTTAAATAATGAATTTTAAAAGCTTAAGCAAAATAATTTTTTTTTCAGGTCTGTGACATAACTTAAAAATTGAGAATATAATTTAAATGTACTTTTATCCAGAAACCAGATTATTTAAAGTGCCTGTTGATCTTGGACTTGTGTTTATCTGTTAGTCCTTTGTGGCATTACTTTAATACATTCTTTAATGTTAAAGTCATTCTATTAGAATTTAGAATTTGTTTTTAAAATATTGAATTTTCAGATGTATAAATTTCAGGAGATTATGCTGCAATGACAATGACAATAAAAATGAAATTCTCCTGCATGGCTTTTGTATGCTCACTGATCCAAAATTTCATTGAGTATCTACTATGTGTCAGGCAGGATTCTAGATAAGCACTGTAGATTCAATAAGAATTTTCTCTGTCTGCAAAGAGTGCCTGTCCACACTGGGAAATGCAATACCAGCCATCACCTTGTGATGATATGTATAACAATGGACTGCAAGGAACAGAGAATACAGACTCCCCATTCTGCCTGACACAGTGAGTACTAACATTTCGATGTTCAATCTACAAGCCACTAAATAAAGAATCTAAGTCATATGTAGTTCATTAATTACAATAATTCAGGGATTCAAAGAACTTCCAGAAAACTTCACTGATTTAGAAACAATCAAAATGAGCTTTCTGAAAACACATGCTGAATCTGAAAACTTACATCACTTGTGTTGATTAAATTTGCTTTAGCCAGAACAATGTCAGGCGTATCAGGCATGATGTGGATCTGAGTCTTGTCTTTGTCCCAAGCTTCTCTATAAAGTCTCTAAAATAAGAAATAAGAATTTTTCAGTGGTGGTGTTAGATTAGTGAATGACACAGTTGGCTTCAAACAGAATTGCTGATTTTATCTGAATTAAACATTATACAGAATTGATATCATAAGCAGAACAACATAACATAAGCAGAAAATAGATGCATTATTTCTTGATTTATCTGGAACATAACTGCCTTTCAAAACGGAGATTATGGGTCACATTTTCAAAGTTACAGAAAATCCTGCCTACAAGAAATCAATCTAGGTAATCACATGCTTTGCCAATATTATCAAATGAAACAGGCTTCTCTATCTTTTGGGTTGTGTCCCTCAGTGTTTAATTGAGAGGCAGCCCTTGCCTTTTCAAAAGCTGTCTTATTCAAAGTGTGCCTAGAAATCAGGGAGTTTTATTTCCCATGTGGCTTGTTGTTATTATTTTGACACAGAGTCTTACTCTGTTGCCCAGGCTGGAGTGCAACGGCGCAATCACAGCTCACTGCAACCTCTGCCTCCTGAGTTCAAGTGATTCTGGTGCCTCAGCCACCTGCGTAGCTGGGATTACAGGCAAGTGCCAGCATAGCAGGCTAATTTTTGTATTTTTAGTAGAGACAGGGTTTCGCCATGTTGGCCAGGATGGCCTTGAACTCCCCATCTCAGGTGATCTGCCTGCCTCAGCCTCCCAAAGTGCTGGGATTACAAGTGTGAGCCACTGTGTCCATCTTCCATGTGGCTTATTATTTATAATTACACCTCACAATCATTGTGAAAGATTAGGATTCCCAAAATGATTTTTTTGGGGGGAATTTATCAAAATCTCTTTGATGTTCCAAAGCCATCCTTATGTCTCTTCAACAGAAGACAAGGGGATCCAAACAAAAGTTTCATTGACTTACTAAAACTAGGATTTTTTTTTTTTTTTGAGACAGAGTTTCACTCTTGTTGCCCAGGCTGGAGTGCAATGGCGCAGTCTCAGTTCACTGCAACCTCCACCTCCCAGGTTCAAGCAATTCTCCTGCCTCAGCTTCCTAAGTAGCTGGGATTACAGGCGCCCACCACCATGCGCAGCTAATTTTTGTATTTTTAGTAGAGATGGGGTTTCACCATGTTGGCCAGGCTGGTCTTGAACTCCCGATCTCAGGTGATCCACCTGCCTTGGCCTCCCAAAGTACTGTGATTACAGGTGTGAGCCATCGTGCCCGGCTAAAACTAGGAAAATTTGATGAAAAACAGAATATTTACACAGCGTCAGAAAATCTCCCTGCCAGATTACTTATCAATTACAAAGGATAAAATGGTTACTCAACAGTATAGCAACCTGGCAATATCACTTTAACCAAGTGTTTAAGTTATTAGTAATAGAAGAAACTGATATCCTGTGCCTCCTGATATGAGGTACTGAGGAGGACACAATGTGTGATCTCCTACTGAAAAGACAATCTGAGTCTATCACAAGGACCCACCAGAAAACCCAAATGGAAAGAGATTCTACAAAATAACTGATCTATGTTCTTTACGAATGTCAAAAACTTGGAAGGCAAAGAAACAGTGAGGAACTAGTCCAGAGTAAAAGAGACTAAAGACATAGCAAGTAATGCAACCTGTGGTCTTGGATTAAATCCTGAGCCAGAGAAAATATTTTCTTTTCTTATAAAGGATATTAGTGATAAAACTGAATAAATTCTGTAGACTAGCAGACTAGTGAAAATTAATTTTGTGATTTTAATCATCACAATGTGATTATTGAGAATATTCTTATTTTTGGGAAATACAGGCAGAATAGGCATCATGAAACAACTTAATTTCTCATAGAGATATATAGATATAGGTCTAGATCTGAGAGAAAGAAAGGGAGAAAAAGAGACAAAAAGAGACAAAAAGAGAAGGCAAATGTGGTAAGATGTTAACATTTGGGGAATCTGGGTATACGCACACACACATACACACATATGTGAATTACATGTACTATTTTTTCAACTTTTCTGAGTGCCTGAAATTATTTCAATATAAAATTTTTTTGGTCTGATTGATTCCTTAAACTTGTCCATTTCCCTTTGAGGTGTGCAGCATGAGATGTGTGTGTATGGCACTTTTCTTTTTCCTGCACATGTTTGCCATGGTGCATATAACCCAGCGAAGTCAATTAAGACCCTCAGCACCAAAACAAAGGCAAGGCTTGTTAATTTCCACATGCGTGTATCCTGGTTCTGCACTACCCTTTTGGATTTAGTAACACCAGAGTTTCTCTTTAAAACTTTTTTTTATTTCCCTATATTCGTGGGGGCACAAGTGCAACTGCATTGTGGTAAAGTCAGGGCCTTCAGTGCATCCATCACTGGAGCAACACACATTGTACCCACCAAGCAAACAGCAGAGTTTCTCTACCTCCTAACCACTGATATTGTGTACTGGATGATTCTTTGTTGTGGGGGCTGCCCTGTGCATTGTGGGGTACTTAGCAGCATCCCTGGCTTCTACCCACTAGATGCCAGTAGCATGCCACTCCCCAGTTGTAAAAACCAAAAATATTTCTAGATGTTGCTAAATGTTCCTGTGGGGCAAAATTGCTTCTGGTTGAGAGTCACTAAGTTAGACTATTTCTTCAATGGCATGCACCACTTTCATCACATGGAATGCAGAGAAAATGCTGTTATTATTTACACTAGGATAGGCGCATCAGTCTATTCAGAAGGAGAGACAGCGGACTGAAGGACCCCAGCTGGCCCGGGTTTTGTGTGGTGGCCCTGAGGCCTGAGAGCTCCATATTTCAGCATTCCCCAAACTAGAGCGCACTGCTGGGAAGTCCTGTCCCGGAACACGTATATTGATAAACTTCATGATCTCTCTCTTGTTTCACGGAGAGAAAAGAAACTTGGATTCCAAGAAGGGGGAAATATTTTGTAAATTTGTTGTTTTCTCAGTTTGTTGGATTCTGACTGTTATCATAAAACAACAAAAGAATAAGTAAATGCTTAAACATTCATAATGAACCTGACAGGTCAACATTTACTATACATTCTGGAAATCAACATTATAAAAAGTCTGTAAGGGGTTAGTTAGGAAAAGAGGAACTACAGTTTATCAATGCTTATTGTAAGCTGATTATGGGCTTATATATTATATAAAACTTCTGATATATATGATATATGTAAAGTATATAGCATATTACATATAGTATATATATTCAGATCCTTCTAAGACCTACAGTATATACATATTTAGATCCTCCTAATAACAGATGGCTATTATATATCTATTTAAATCTTCTTACCAATTACAGATTTCAGGGCACATACTTCAATACTCTGTTATGTTCAGGGTTAGGCTTTTAGCTGAGCAGTGTTGAGTAATCTTTCCCTTCTTTGCATATAATTACTCCACCCTGCTATGTTTTATTTATTTTTTTCAATGAATATTTATTGAGTACCTATTATGTGTTAGACACTGGTGTCAGAGCTGGTGAAGAAAATAAATTGAAGATGAAATATATACTTATTTACGGTGACAGAATTATCCATTTATCTTGATTCAGCTAAACTAAAAGCATTATAATCATTTGTCAGGAAATACACTCTTTATAACACATTAATTGTGCCTGTGTAAGGTACTCAGAATCTTTCCCCCTCATACACTCTACCCCAACAAAAAACATTTGGGTGCTTCATGCACTCAAGTTTCAAAGAAAAAAGTTTGTTCAATCATTTTCCCATTACATTTTGGTTAATAAATAAGCTTTGGGTGACAAAAACTGACACTGACCTATTTTTACACAATTCAGTGTAGGATAGTTGCTAATTCAAATAAAGCGATCCAATATAAAATGTTATGTGGTGATGCATGAGGCAATGCTTTGCGGTTCTACTCATTTATTAAGCAAGCGCTATTCAGCAAATACTAGGTAGCAGGCACTATAATCTATTTTATTTATTTCCAGAGTGCTACTCACATCACTCCTATTTTTGGCATTTGTCTTTGCCAGAACTATGTCCATGGCATCAGGAATGCTGGTGAACTTGTTTCTGTCTGGAGGCTGACGATATTTTTTCTCACTGATGATTTCCGAAGCCCGCTTGTTCTTTTCTGCCTCTAAAGAACCCAAGGGACTCCATCCTATGCCTCTCAGCCACTCTAGGTCAGATTTATATAGATTCTGTGAAAAGACAGAGCAAGCCATCAAAATCCCATTCTCACCTGGATCCTAGATTCAAGTGATTCTATGCATTACAAACAGATGCATTTTAGATTTTCAATAACAATTTCTAGTTTCACTTCTCTTTGACTAAATAGCTACTCATATAAAATATGAATTAATATATAAACTATTGCATTTAATAGAAACTGACCTCACTTTGCAGTTCATAAACTTTCTTAGCTTGCACAACATCGTTCTGATCAGGCAGACATGTCCACTGATGTAAGTAGTTCTTGTAGTCCACGTCACTAACCAACTCCTGACACTTCTTGGCCAGTACCACTCCCAACATGTCCACTGGACTGGAGAACTTAGTTTTCCACTTCTCAAAGTCCTTCTTATATTCTCTTTCACTCTGCATTTTGGCTACATTCATGGACAACACAAGTTTTGGGTCATCTTGCAGACTCCGGAATCCAACATGGTGGCCAAGTTGCTTTCGGTAGCCTTGTTTGTATTTAAACTGAAATCAGAGAAAACACAGCTCTTTTAGTACACAAACTAAGGCCGAGTTAAGCTCAACTTGTTTTCTTTTCTTTCTTTTTCTTGAGACACGGATCTCACTATGTTTCCCAGGCTGGTCTTGAACTCCCAGGCCTACTCTTCCAGCTTCAGCCTCCCTAGTAGCTGGGATTACAGGCACATGCCACCTCACTCAGCTTCAATTTGCCTTGTTTTCATGTTTGTTTTCCAAAACCGAAATGAGAGAAGGGTTGTCTATGCTACCTTAGTATGGAATGTTTACTTACTTAAACTAAGCCTTGTTTACATGGAAGCTTCTGAAGAAATCTAATGTTGATACATAGAAATGTAATGTATCAACAGAGGTTATAAGAAATTAATTCTAACTAGATGCAGAAATATATGTTTGGTTGTGCTAGCTATTGTGTATTCTGACTTTGGGGTTGTATTTAATATAGCTCTTGTGATATTCTTATGGAAATGATAATCCTTATGGGCTAAATGACAGAAAAATCAGGAAGATACATGACTAAGTAAATACACCTAATAGTGGAGACTAATTTATTAAATAGCAGGATTTTTTTGTGGCTTGCCATGTGGTTATGTCATATAACCTTGTCCTTGTCCTGTTTGGGATCCATATCTTGCATGTGCAGATGGCTAAAAATAACTAAATATGTTAGATTAGGGAGAAAATTCCACAAGAGCTCCACATACTGCCAAATGGATCAAAATGATTACATAAATTTAAGACAGTAAAAGTAAAATTTGGTATTTAGATTCAATTGAGAAAAATTACATTAGTACTAGATGACAGTAACAACAGTGATAACAATAATGAGTATAATAACAGCATTTACTTGATGTTAGGTGCTGAACACATCTTATACCTTACATGATACCCAGCTTCATTATTACACATATAAAATATTCAGGAGTTTAAGTGGACTATAAGTTCAACATAAGCAACCTGACAAAATTGCTTTTTAAAAAGTAGTGCCATAGATTCTGTATGGGGCACAAATAAGCTCTCTGAACTGACCTCCTGTATCAAGAAAACAACACTAAATTTTGAGGGATTCTATTTTGACAGGAGTTTTGAAAAAACAGCATAAATTACAAATAGAATGATCAGAAGATTGAAGAATGTATAAAACTGAAACGAAAGGAGGGCAAATATGAAAAAGTCGGAAAAGCTATCAAGTGGAAGTGGAAATAGGCTACTTGTAGTGGTGTAGAACAGAGATCTAGAGCTTATCGGTAAATTATTTACGTAAAAATAAGAAGCTATATAATGGCAACTGGAAATGATCTAACAAAGAAATGACCTGCCCTGAAGGACTCCAAAATTCCTTTAAAGAATTTTTTTATTTTTGAGACACCGTCTTGCTCCATTGCCCAGGCTGGAGTGCAGTGGTGTGATCATGGCTCACTAAAGCCTCAACCTTCCGAGCTCAAGTGATCCTCCCATCTCAGCCTCCTAAGTAGCTGGGATTCCAGGCACACACCACCATGCCCAGCTAATTTTTTATTTTTTTGTAAAGAAAGAGTCTCACTATGTTGCCCAGGTCGGTCTTGAACTCCTGGCTTCAAATGATCTTCTTACCTTGGCCTCCCAAAGTGCTGAGATTACGGGAGGGAACCACTGCACCCAGCCTCCAAAATTCTTATATTTTTAAGTATCTACAGACTTTTGGAGATGGAGAGAAGGTAGGATGCTGTGTGGGAGATTAGATTAAATGTCTTTATCTTCCAACGTTAAATTCTATGATTCTAATTCATTAAATTAAATACTTATAAAAATTGTTTTAATTTTCTGAAATTTTACAAATACAAGGACATTTGAAATTGAGGAAAATACATCTCTATAATAGTGGGAAAGTTCACTAATAGTTCATTTGAGAGTAAGATTTCAAAAGGTTCGAATTAATGGGTTCACACAAAAAGAAATGAGGTACTATCAAATTGTTGAGTTGTTAGGAGATTATTGATGTTATTTCTTCAATTCCTAAACTATCTTTAGCATATAGCATTAAATGAAAATGAGTTTACACATCATTATTGCTTTAGGCTTATCATCTCGTTGATTTATTTTAATAAGGGATTGACCTGCAAGCTGGAGAGTGGGTAATAATGTATCATCATATTAGTTTTCCCACATTTCTGGAGTGCCAGAAATTAAGTGAATTAAATAAAATCTTCCCTTATGTTCTTAGAATTTATTGTCAGATTCCATTTTTAGGCACTCTTTTCCTCCACTCTGTACTTCAACCTGCATATTAACCAAATCCCTGTTTTCTTTTAAAGATTTTAATTAAGAGGTCCTGCTTCCCTATGAAATCCTGGTAATTTATTCATTATAACCAAGACCTTCTGAATTTTTGTGGTTAAGTTTTGGGATTAACAAAACGATATGCTAGCAATATGCAGAATATCTAAGTAAAATACTTGTAAAAAATTAACCAATAGAGACAATACCTAGTTTTTCACCAGATTTACTACCGTTTCTAATCATAACTAGAATCTACCTTTGGGAGAGTGAGTCTATGAACTTTAGACCAGATTTTCAGCAGAAAGAAGAATTAAGTAAGCCCTTAGGAACTTAAACCTAAATTTCTGGACCTTCTTGGATTTTTTAAGTCCCAAGGTAATTTATTACAATTATATAAGTGCAAAATGGGTTAAACTGAAATAACTGACAGCCTATTTTAAAAGATGTGCATATAAAATCTATCAGCATCAGTTTGTTGAGGTTGATTTATTATCTGGCACTTTGAATTTATCTAAAATAGACAAGTAGAAAACAGGAAAATTATTATATTTTCAGGAAAGTAGGGAAAACTTGCAATCTTGGGTCCTTTGTAATATCCCCAAGTAGAGCATCTTACTCTAATGGATCTTAGAGGTCTTCAGGCCCGACCTCTATTCAGGAAGCCCCTTTGGACATACGAACAGTGAAAAAGAAGAGTGAACTCTGGATAAATGAAGAGGGTAGAAGAAAACGAAGGAAGCATTATATTTTGAAAGGTAAAGCCTATCTATAAAAATAGTTACTGACATTAAGTTACCTGATTCAGATAAAAATATATCCTTCTAGAACTCAAACTAGTACTCACATCACTAGCAATGTCTCTTGAAGCTTTAGCTAGCTGTACAGAAATCGCATCAACTGGGAGATCATAGCCTTTCTTCAAAGATTCTTCCCATCCAAGTTTATAGAGTTTCTGAAAATTAAAGATATTCTTCAGCATTATTCTGCCTATATAAAGAATCTCAGCAGATTATTAGGGAAAAGTTTACCTACAGAGTGAATATCAGATCGAACATCATCTACCCTATCTTTAAAGATATGGATAAAAATAAAACAAGTTGTTTAAAGGAGTAGAAAAAGCACTGGCTCAGCATCATATGACCTGGCTTTAATCTTTTTTGGCTGTGAGAATCCTGGTGGTATATTTTATCACAGCCTCTGCTGTTCAGAAACAATATGGTCATATCAGGCATATCAGGTACTTTTCTCACTGCTGTTAAATACCACCTTGGCTTACTATTTTGAAGATAGATATTAAGATAATTGCTAATAAATACAGGTCACAACATTTTAATTAGCTAAGTGATAAAAGCAATAAATGAAATACTTTTTATAAATTGCAATAATTTAGTTGCAATCTTTCTGAGTTGACTTTACTGATTGAATGGATGTATGTGTGTTAGAACTGGGTAATAACAAAAATAGCTCATAGTTATCCAGTACTTTCCATGGGCCAGGCACTGTGTTGAGGATCTTACACAGAATTTCCCTTTTAGTCCTCATGGCAATCCAATGTCATAGGTATGTTTATGGTCCCAACTTTAGGGATGAGGAAAGTGAGATTTAGACAGGTAATTGAGTTACCCAGTATCATACATCTCAAAAATGGCAAAGCCAAAACTCATACCAAGTCTGTTTGATGCAATTTTTACCTTATTTATGTGTTTATTTATTAGAGATAGGGTCTCCCAATGTTGTCCAAACTGGATTCAAACTTCTGGGCTCAAGGGATCCTCCTGCCTCACCTTTCTGAGTAGCTAGGACTACAGGTGCATGTCATCGCACCCGGCTGTTTGATGCAATTTTTTTCAACAATTATCTATTGATTTCCTGCTTGGTATCAAGCACAATGAACACAGAGATAAACAGACACAGAACCTGCTCCATGAAGTATACAGTTGTGGCTGAAGCCTTTGCTCTTAACCACTCTATTTTGCAACATCCTGGGCTAATCAGTGTGTCATTTCCAAACTTCCATTGCTTCGACATTTATATCAGTATTTACTATTACATTATTTTATAAGTTCATAAGTTTCAATACAAAACCCTTACAAGTAATTTTTATGTAACTTTACCTGACTATACAGTGTTTGATTCTGTTTGGCTTGTAAAATATCTGGTGTATCAGGCATCACGTGAACATTGGTCTTATCTTTATTCCAATCAACGGTGTATAAATACTAGGAAGTGGGAAAAAAAGACATGAAATTGGAATAACTGGGACAAGCAGGAAAGAAAAATATGTATTTCTATATTAGTACTTGAATGCACTCAATTTGACTTAGTAAAGTAATAGCATATAATTCAGAAAAGACTCTAAAAACAAACTCAGATTTTAAAAAATAATCTTTTAAGTTATTTTCTGTTTTCTACAATGGAAAGTATTGAAGATATAATAATTAAAAATATAAATAATTTCTAACCCAACTAGAAGGTCAAGAGAAGAAAAAAAAGTAAGAGGTGGACAGAAGAAGATGGTGTAGGGGAATGATCTGGAAAGGTTTGCCACTGCCTAGGAATGATGGACCTGAATTAGATTTCTCCAAACAAGAACCAGAGCCTGCTAGCCTTTCCTCATGTGGGAGCTGTGTGGACGGCCACTGTTCTGTGTACCTTGTTCATGGTATGCGCATTCTGCTTGGCAAGCACCATGTCCATGGAATCAGTCAGCTTCTTAAACTGAAAGTTGCTTGGGTGCTGGCGGTATTTCTGATCACTGGCATATTCAGTTGCTTTCTTGGCCTTCTCCACTTCCAGAGAACCTGCTGGACTCCAGCCAAGCCCTTTGTACCATTCATTGTAATCTTGCTTATATTCGTTCTATAAAGAAGATAAGCAAATTCTACTTTATCTTATCCATTTAGACACAAAAGCATGGCATGTAAACAGACTGTAATCTCCCTTCCCATGCTAGGATTCCAACCATCACTCAAGTAGAAGAAAGCCTTACATCACTCTGTATGCGATTCATATTCCTGGTCAGTTCAATGTTCATTGCATCTGGAAGGAGGATGTACTTGTGAATCAAGTGCTTGTAGTTAGTATTGGTGATGTTGGCTTGTGCATCCTTGGCAGCCGTGACACTGAGCATGTCAGCAGGGGTGTGGTAGCTGGTCTTTGTGTTCTCATAGTTTTTCTTGTACTCCCGATCAGATTGCATCTTAGCCACTTGCATGGAATGGACTAATTTGGGATCATCCTCGAGACTGCGGAAACCAACCATTTTCCCCTTCCCTTTTTCATAATCGTGCTTGTATTTATACTGTGAAGAAAATATGAGTTTTTACACAGAGCAATTCCTTTGACTAAAAATCGGTCTAGTGTCAATATGCTATATTATTTTTGTATAATTATAATTAAAAATTATATTTGTATAGAGCTCTATAGTTCACAAACACATTTTTCATATTTATTGATGTAACTGTATTATTAAAAATTATATTTGTATAGAGCTCTATAGTTCATGAACACATTTTTCATATTTATTGATGTAACTGAATACAATTCTCCCTTGTGAGGTAGATAGCAAAGTTCTTATTACTGCCCTCATTTTATAGATGAATAAGTTGAGACCCAGAGAGCTGAGCAACCTGTTGAGGCCACTGAGGATTAGAACCCAGATCTTGTGATGATGCATTACACTGACTTATGCATGTACTTTGCTGTTAGTGCTAAAGAGGACTTTAGTAGGTAAAAAGAACACAGAAAATGGAAAAAAAAAAAAAAGAACATTTCTCTTATTGCTGCCCTGAGAAATTATCCTGTCAGTCATTTACTGATGAGAAAAGGTTCAATTATGAGACACAGAGTGTAATTTTAGAATAGCTTTATATTTGTGGAGCTCCTTTTCCTTTAAGACTCTCTAAAACTGCTATAATGGGGGAAGAAATTGTCCTATTTATCATCTCAACTTTCTTCTATAGAGGGGAGATCTTGATCCATGGAGAGCTTCTTTTTCTGCCTATCTCCTTGTGGGATTGCATGTGCAAGTTGGGGGTAGAAGCTAGTAGAACCAAATTACTCCAGCGTAATAGAGGGGAGAAGAATTTGGAGTTCTCGGGATAATAAGAGAGAGTGGAATGGGCTGGATAGGTAGGGAAGATGAAGAATAGAGATGAAAAGGAAAGAAAGTAAAACTCATGGGTGACCAAGGAAAGAGTGTTTTGAAATGTGCTCCCCTCCCCCAGGACCTCCACGTCATTAAATGCTCCCTGTGAGTGGATTTCTTGTGGAAACAACCATATGAAAGAACTGAGTTTCATATAGGTGGCATGTTATGACAGTGATGTGTTGGTACACCTGCTTTTTGCCGCGCAGTGCGGGGAAAGCCTCACTTTGTAGTGTTTGCCAATTTCTGTGGTGTAAGTATGCCCATCATAGCTGTTATGAAGCCACCAATGGTTTAACAACTGGTTTGTAACAATTCCTGATTATTTACTCATCAACCATCATGAGCCCAGATGATCAGCACTCTTGCATCCATGAGACATCCTGGGAGAAAAATCAGCTCTGAAGAAGCAGGAGGCAAGAACAACATGAGACTTTCACCAAGAAAGCTTAGTGAAGGGCTTTGAATTTCTACAAGCCATAGCGTTGGTGACAGATTCAAAGTAAGTGTATCTAGATCTCATGAGTCAGGGAGCTGACATCTATGAGGGTCACCATGTGGTTAGCTTGGTGTTTTTTCAGAAATACCAGAGCACACACAAAAGCAAGGTTAAGAAGCATTCACAGAGAGTGAGACCTACTGTTTTTCATATTGTGTCCACTCAGTGTTTCCAGAACTCAACCTTATTATTTCGGTTCCCTAGAAACCCCCAGCCAGGTGACTGCTTTCCTTTGGACTTACATCACTTGCAATATCTCTGGAAGCCTTAGCAGCTTTGATAGGAATTGCATCCGGTCTGAGATCATAGCCTTTCTTTTTAGACTCTTCCAAGGAAAGTTTGTAGAGTTTCTGTAAAGAGAGGCAAAGGGAAGAGTTTTCTTCTGAATATGAAAGCCTGGATTTCTTTTAGAAGAGTAAACTACCACTGTGGTGTCTTTTTTTTGTTTTTAAGTAGAATGCTTCATTGGTGCTTTAGTGGCTGAATGTTCTTACAAGTAACATAACTGTGTTTGAAAAACAATCTATAACAAACTTAAACATGTTTTCAGGAAACTACCAGAAAAAAGTAAAAGTTACTGGTCTCTATTAGATTGTAATAGTCCTGGAGATTCTTATTGATGCAAGTAAGAGTTAAAGGAAGACTACAAAACAGCCCTATTCTGACATCAAAAGAAAAGTCACTGTTTTATAATCAGCACTTTTATTTGTATAATAATGTGGAATCTACAATTAAAGAAAAACTCAGCTATTCCAAATCTCTGTGGAATTCAAACAAAGAAACAAAAAAAATGGGTAGGATTAGAAGATTTCCTAGCAACTATGATTAGACGAAAAAGGAAATGAAATAAAACATCGATACATTTTCTAATAAGTGTTGCACATTCCTTGTTATGGGGTTTGCCCCAAATTCTTCAAAATGTTTTTCTTCCCTTTCCATTTAACCCCTTCCTCAGAACCATCTCAAAGGTTTGATGGAAAGGCTAAGAACGAAATTCCAGAACTCTCATTTCCTTTTTCTCTTCTCCCGGCCCCCAAGCCTGTTTCTTTCTACCAAATCTCTCAATTTAATAAGGAATGCCCCCCTAGAACAAAATCCAATCACCCTTCAAATTCTTAACTGCTTGGCCCAACCCCATCGACAGGTCTACTCCAACTCCGCAAAGCAAAATTAGAAAGAGAAAGAGCCTCATGTGTGGATTTCCACCATTATTTTTAAAACATTCATTCTCATAACTGAGAGAGAGATTAATTAATCTGTTCTTACTGGTTCAAATCTGCTGGAGAGGAAGATGACAACAGGAGGAACTATACTTACATCACTCATATTAATTGCATTTGCCTTTGCCAAAATAATCTGGGGGATATCAGGCATGATGTGGACTTTGGTTTTATCAGCCTCCCATGCTTGTTTGTAGAGATGCTAGGAAAAAAACAGTGTAAATTAGTGTTTAAAATCTTAAAAGACGCTTACCTAGTACATACATATCATTGTACACATATATATCAATATTTCATGTGTTTTTATTAACTAGGTTTAAATTAATTCATTCATTATTTTTGAGACAGAGTCTCATGCTGTCACCCAGGCTGGAGTGCAGTAGTGCAATTATGGCTTACTGCATCCTCTACCTCCTAGGCTCAAACAATTCATCCTCCCACCTCGGCCTCTGAGTAGCTGGGACTACAGGCAGGCACTACCACGCCTGGCTAATTTTTGTATTTTTCGTAGAGATGGGTTTTTGCCATGTTTCCCAGGCTGGTTTCAAACTCCTGAGCTCAAGCAATCCACCTGCCTTCACCTCCCAAAGTGCTAGTATTACAGGCATGAGCCACTGCACCTGGCCCAAAAAAAAATTTAATGGAAAAGTTGCTTATTCAAACAATACAGCAGGGAGGAAATAAGACAGAAAGTAAAAATGCTTTTTCCCCTTACCTTACAGCATGGAGGTAGCATTTGCCTCCTAAAATTTTCTGTGTACATTTAAACACACATATAGTCCTTTTAAAATATGCATGAAGTCATGTTCTACATCTTGATTTTTAACTTAATAATATAGACATCTTTGAACAACTTCTTAAAATAATTTATTTCATTCATTTGTAGAGCTACATAGTATTTCATTAGGAGGTATATTCTAATTAAGTTAACCAGTTCTCTGTTGATGAATACTTAACTTATGGCCTCTAGCCTTTTTCTACTACAAGCAATGTCATGATCCTTGTGGTGGACATGGAGATGTGCCACCAATATACCCATTCAAGGAAGGACCTGATTCCCCAACTTTTGACAAACAGTTTCTAGTCATCAGCTATCTCACTCAAGAGCATGCACTTCCCAGATAACCACACTCAACAGCTCATCGAAGTGGGTGTACAAAGATCTAGCCATTTCAGCTCAATACAGTTCTCTACTACAGAGACACTTGAGAGCCCTCTGTGGGACTGGCCAAGCCTTTGTCATGCCAGCATCACTGTTTAACTTCTCCTCCCGTCTAGTCCTTCCTCCCAAGGACTAGGATCCCTAAAAAATACTCTGCACTCCAATTTTCATTTCATCATCTCCTTTCAGAAACCCTAAACTGCAAACATATTCTTGTGTGTATGTATGTATGTATATCTTTGCACACATGTATAAAGATTTCTACAGGGTAATGATACCTGAATTTAAAATTTTAACAAATGGCCCATTAAAAGTTTGCTTTAACACAAACTCCCTTACAGATATTGTGTGTAACACAGCTTCTTAATTTTTGCAAATGCAATAGATGAAAAATGCTATCTCTTTGTTTTAGTCCGTATTAATTAAAATAAGAATAACCTTCTTCTGGACTAGAGGTTGGCAAACTTTTTCTGTATAGACAGAAATTCTTTAAATTTCAGGCCTTGTGGGCTACGAAACTGCTGTCATTAGCCACTCAACTCTGCTGCTGTAGTCCAAAAGCAGCCAGAGACCACATGCCGACAAACAGCTGTGGTTGTGTGACTATAAAACTTTATTTACAAAAACAGTCATTTTTCTGAACCTTGTTTTAGACCAGCACTATACAATAGAACTTTCTGCAACGATGGAAATGTTCTGCATAATCCAATATGGTAGAACTCGATTGAGTACTTGAAATGTAGCTAATGTGAATGAGAAACTGAATTATTAATATGATTTATACAAACATAAATCAACACATGTGGCTAGTAGTAATAGTATCGGGCAGTGAAATGTTAGTGGAAAGAGCATTGCCTAGTTATCAGAATCCCTGTTCTAGTCCAGACCCCGCTGTTGACCTGCTGTGTACCCTTATGGGAGGTGCTTTGCTTCTCTGGGCTGTTCTTTTCTCAATTCTGCAGTGGGAGGATTCAACCTGATGATCATCAAGATGTCTCTCAGTGCCGGTGCATGTTAGTTCTATGATTCTCCTCTTGGCATCATTATCCTGAAATGTTAATCACTAACACTGAAAAAAATAGATATCCTCATAGTTTAGATTCTAAATCTTAAAAGAGGCACAGAAATTTGTGCCTTGTCTTTGAGACAGGTCCCTTTCAAGGAGATTGATCTCTACAAATCATTCACTTCTCTGAAGACTCCAGGCGGTTTACTCTGTGGCTTAGCATAATCCAGTTCTATCTTTCTAGCACAACTAGGGCCATTATTTTCTGCAACTGTTTCATGTTTAGATCCAAATCATCTTTTTCTCTGTTATGTTAATCAAAGGCATTTCTCATTTTGATCCACCAGTGCTGCTGCAGTTATTTTATTATTTTTAACTTCAAAACCAGATGTTCAAAGTTGATTGTACTTGTTGGTTTTGATCTCTTATTGCAAATCAATGTAAAAATGGAGAAAGGCTTTTCTAAAAGCTGGAATAATTCATGACCCAAGGGAACACTGATGTAGAACAATTGCCCTCAAGATTGCCCAGAGAACATTCTGGTTTGAAATGCTGCTATAGCCATATAATCTTGGAATTTTCTTTGATCCCATCAAAACAGAAAGGAAACTGGGCTTTGGGGGGTGGTTTGCAACACCAGCTGCCGTCAGGAAATCGGCTGATTCAGTGTCATGAATGTCTATTAAACCTCACCTTAGACAAACAGGACTCATTTTCAAGAGGTGCAATAAAAGAAAAAGTCCCTATTTATTTGGTTATGTCAATAAGATAGGATGGTTCATTGAAGATTTGAGACTACTAGTTAGAAATAATTCCTATCTTTTTTTTTTTTTTTTTTAACCACAAGACTCTTTTTCTAGGTAAAATAACCTCAAGTGTGATGCCCTATAACTGTATCAGCAAAGCCTGTGGATTACATGTAAGTTATACCTGGATTCTCTCTGATGCATATGAGACACTGCATTATTAAAAGACTTACTTCGTTCATAATTTTTGCATTATTCTGGGCCAAAACCATGTTCATCGAGTCCATCAATGTGGAATACTTCAAAGTGTCTGGGTGCTGGCGGTACTTCTTTTCACTAATAATCTCCATGGCTTTCTTGTTTTTCTCCGCTTCCAGGGAGCCCAGAGGGAGCCATCCAATGCCCTTCATGAAGTCAGCATAGTCAGCCTTGTACTGATTCTGCAAAAGAGGAAAATAAATTATGAGAAGAAACGGAAACTTCCCAAGAATTCCAAGTGTGTGTTTAATATTCTGTAACTTCCACTTCATTTGTAACTTTTCCACTTCAATATTTGCTAGAATATTGATATTTAACCAATAGCATGATGAACTTCAACCATTTCGTCCCTAAAATTTTATCCTTTTTGTATTTCCTTGCATGATAAATTAAAAACTAAGCAGAAATGTCTTTGTGATTTGTTTTTCTCAATGCCTTCATAAAGAAAAAGTACTAAGAAATACCACATAGATTCATCTGCCAGGTGACTGTTATCTCCTTGAGAAAAGGAACTATGCTGACCTTTCTTACAAAAACTCCCAAGGCCCCTTGGTTAATAGATGACTATGGAAACCCCATTTTTCTCTTTCACTGTCTTTGATCACCCGCCACCATTACAATTCCCTCAGGTATGCCAGAAACCTTCCTGGTACTTTGTGTAAATTTCATTTTTTGCTCCTCGGCTTTGACATTTCTCTCTACAACTGTACCATGGTTGCTTTCATTCAGGCACTTATTACCTCCCTGGCAATTAATGGCTCAGTCCTCACATTCCCAAAGATAAATGTAGGCTTGCTTTGGTAGGCTTGCTTTGGTCTGCTTTGGGTTTGTAACTTAATTCACCTCTCAACCATCAAATGGCCTCTTGAGCTAAATTCTTGGCTCTATTCCTTCTCGGTCTTTCTTACATTTAGTCCAAAAGCTGTATCAGTCGTCACCTTCTCAAAAAATTTCATTAGTAAGGTAGGCAATTGCAAAGTTAAAGTGGTAGAATGAAACCCGGTTGGGAGGGAGGGACTGGAGCTATCAGGTTATCTGATTTCTTACTTTCCCTTTCATTCCTCTATTAAAAGCCTATTATGCTTTTGACCATCTTTGCTAGATATATTTCTTTCAATACACTCTTTCTGAAATGAAGTGCCATTTGCTGTTGTGGAATTCAGCATCCAACAATGCTCACAGCAACAATAGTAGAAAACAAGACTTTAGTTTCTAGAATTGATCTCCTTTTGTTAAAAGACATGAATTCAATCTAAGGTAGCAAATGAAACACTATGTTGGGAAACTGCAGATGAATTTCTTTCAGGATTTTCAAAATGTCATGACTTATGGTCATTCATGGTTACTTATTATCCAGAGTAAGCGCTCTGCAAATGTGGCTTTCACATACATCACTCTGAATCTGCATCCTAGTTTTGGCCAATTCAAAGCTCATGGCATCAGGAAGCATGTTGTAGGTATGGATCAAGTTCCTGTAGTTGGCATTGGTGGCCACTTCCTGAGACTTCTTGGCAGCCACCACACTGAGCATGTCCACTGGGGTATGGAAGGAGGTCTTGGATTTCTCGTATCCCTTCTTGTACTCTCGGTCTGACTGCATCTTGGCCACCTGCATGAAGTGCACCAGCTTGGGGTCATCTTCCAGGCTCCGGAAGCCAATGTGTTTCCCTTTGGCTTGTTCATAGGCTTGCTTGTATTTGTACTATGGACAGAGAAGACATGATGGTGATGAAAATGGTAAAAGAAAGAGAACAAAGTACCATTTGCTAGGTGACATTAGCTTTGTCTTAGATGAAGGGTTTTAGAGCTACTCTAAAATTAGAAGGGAGGCACTCATGAGAGGCAGGGAGCAAACTCTTTTTAATTCGATTTTGTTTTTCCCAGACTTGAATCCATGGAAAGAAAATAATCTCAGAGTTAATTGAAGAGATGTGTAAATAAATTGGTTTAGAGAGATTTAGAAAGCAGATTTCCCCACTCAGCTGTCTGAGTGATAGAAAAGGCTACAGGCATGATTTCTCATGGTGCATCTTTAAAGAGAGGGCCCGGCCATGGGCCTCCTGGTAAAATATGTAGATTGCATCTTTACATTTGCTTAGAATTGCACATGATTTGAATAGACTCTAAAGGCTACTTATTTTAACAAGACTCAGTCACTACTTATATTAAATAATGAACAGATGATTAGAGAGTACTTGGATGAGGTGAAGGGAGGTGTCTTGTGTGTCACATGGGATGGCATTCCCACCAACCCTGAATGGAGCTGACCACAGCTCCTACATATACACAAGCTTGGCGCATTTGTTCTTACTTGCCCAGCCCCAAAAAGGCCCAGTGGAAGTGCTTACATCACTGGCAATGTCTCTAGAGGCTCTTGCAGCCTTTATTGCAATGGCATCAGGTCTCAGGTCATATCCTTTCTTCTTTTCTTCTTCCCAGCCAGCTTTGTACAGTTTCTAAACAATAAAATAGAAAAACAACAGCATCTTGTTATTGGGGTTAGAATAGACGTCCTGACTACAAAGTGGTTGGCATGTAAAAAAGGCAGACGTAAGTATCAGTTCCCTTTAACCTTCTTCCTAGCTTTTGCTGTTGTTAATCTACTTACATCACTCATGGTGATTTGATTTACTCTGGAGAGTAAAATATCTGGTGTGTCAGGCATGACATGAATGGTGGTCTTGTCCTTGTTCCATTTTTCAGTATAGAGCCTCTGCAACGAGAAAGTCAGGTGCATGATTTTACAGCAGGACAAGTTTGACCCAATGCTACCAACAGGAAGAGATTTGCATCTACACGGTAGAAGAGGTTAACTGTTGATATTAGAAAATGGATGAAATAACAAAAAGATGGGCCAAGTAAACTAAATACACAATGAGAAAAAAAATTGTTGAATAAGGCAATCCTCCACCACCAAAGCACCAAATACCATCTTGCCCCCACCGCACAACCATGTGGAGTTTTGTGGTTCTGTCACATTTTTAACATGCTGTTGAGCGATGACCTGAGGGAGTCACTATGAAAGAGAATGCGCTAAACATGATGCAAGCAATAGAGTCCCCTCCCACCAACGCCATCAAGACGATCAGAAAGATAGAAACACTGAAGGAGATGATGGGGGCAGTGCCAGGCTCAACGGCATGAATACCATGAGGGTTCCCTGGGCAAGGGTGGCAGGTGAGTCCTTACCTTGTCCATGTTCAGTTTGTTACTCTTGTTAAGTGCCTGTTCCATTGTGTCCATGGCGTACGTGAATTTCAACTTCTCGGGGTGCTGGCGATACTTCTTCTCACTCAGAATCTCTCCTGCTTTCTTTGCCTTCTCCACCTCTAGGGACTCTATGGGGACCCAACCGATCCCTTTCATCCAATTGGTGAAGTCAGATTTGTACAGATTCTTTACAATGAAAAAAACAATCATTTCAGAAATAGTCAGGGCTTGGGTTTCTTTGGCTACATGATTTACTTACAATCAAAAAGTAAAAGGGAAGCTGGGAGGGGGAGAATAATCTGCTTTTTACTCCCTGCAGTCTTTCAGAAGAAATTAATTATAAAAGTAATTGCATTCATAGTGGTTTTGAACAGGAAATCCTGACCCAGCAATTCCTTTAAAAAGTTAACTTTCTTCAGAAAAAGAAATGAAAAATTAACAGAATTTTGCACTGGAAGGAAAATTATATAACACACTTATTTGAGCCTCCTAATTTTTCACAGACAATATCGTATGTTTGGCTCTAACACCAACATTTTAAATATATGCATATGCATATATATAAAATTAACAACAAAGCTACCTGTAGTTTAAATGAGTGAAATCCTAAAACTCCAAGTTCTGGAGGGAATCCTTAATTACAGTGAGTGCAGCCAGGTGTGGGATGGAGTAAGTGGTGCCTATTTTTCCCTCCCACCCATTAGAAATGGATAACAACTTGGTAACCAGTACATACATCGCTCTGAATCTGCATGGCATTCCTGGAGTGCTCCACATTCAAGGCATCGGGCAGGAGAGTGTAATGGTGGTATGGCTGTCTGTAGTTGGCGTTGGTGGCAACCTCCTGAGATTTCTTTGCAGCTGTCACACTGACCATATCCAGAGGTGTGTGGTACTTGGTCTTGCTGGCTTCATAGCCCTTTTTGTACTCACGATCAGACTGCATTTTGGCCACATTCATATAGTGAACCAGTTTAGGATCATCCTGAAGACTGCGAAATCCAACTTGCTTGCCTTTGGCTTTCTCGTAGGCCTCCTTATATTTGCACTATTTGAAAACAAAAGGCAGACAGAAGTTGGATAGAAGTCTGATATAAACTGAATTTATACAACAAATAAAGCAAAAGCCAACTTCAGTCTGAATCTAGGTAACATCAAAGTTTTTTTTTTTTGTATTTTAAAATAAACAATTAGCAAAACATTTTTAATGGCTCATCTTGAGACCTGCCCTGGAGATCATTAAGAATGGAATAATGGAATAGTTTATATTTATACACTTCATAAGTAGATTACTTGAATAACTCAAAACCTCAAATGTTCCTGGGAAGTTTGCTTATTAAGCATTTGATGTACACTTTTTTTTTTTTTTCTTTTTTGAGACAGGGTCTTGCTCTGTCCCCCAGGCCAGAGTGCAATAGTGCAATGATGACTCACTGCAGCCTCTGGGGTCCTCCCTCCTCAGCCTCCCAAAGTGCTAGCATTAGACATGTGAGCCACCATGTCTGGTCAATGTATTCTTTTTATTATATTTCCAGTATTAATTTGTATTATCTTAAAAAGTATTTGCATAATTATGAGTAAATTTCAGCCCTAATACAAATTAGTGTATTAATCTTGAAATTAATGCATTTTTACTCTATCAAGGCATTATGTCAACTCATATACAAATATAACTTAATTTGTAAAAAAAAAAAAAATTAACTAAAATCTTGTTATGTAATTAACTAAAACTAATTAACTAAAATCCTGTTATGTAATCCATGGAAATAGAAATACGAAAGACCAGAAAGAATTAGCAAAATATTTTTTCTGTTTTTCCACGTTTTTATTTCTATGGGGTTTTTTCCTTCATGGAAATTATAAAATTAAAACACTGAATTCTTTTAAAATACTTGGAGACTTTTCAAATTTAGTGATGTTTTAGTATATCATGACTTTTTTCAAGACAAAATCCAAATAAAAAGTGGCTTTTAAGTTCATAACAATGATACTAATGAAAGTTTCAAATACTTCACAGTTTTTAAAAAAGAATTTTTTTCTTTGTAACAACTTTATTAAGCTTTTAAATATGTGAAAAATATTTTAAGTGAAGCAATATAAACAATGTAATTGGCAATTAGGATTTTAGGAAGTATTTTTATATTATAATTTCTTTACTTGCTTCTTTATGTAGTTGATACAGTCTTATACATCACATACAGATTTTTTTTTTCTTTTTTAGAGATGGGATCTCACTCTGTCACCCAGGCTGCAGTGCAGCGGCGCAGTCACAGCTCACCGCAGCCTCAAACTCCTGGGTTAAAGAGATCCTCCCATCTCAGCCTCTGAAATAGCTGGGACTACAGGTACACACCACCACACCTGGCTAATTTATTTATTTATTTATTTATTTATTTTTTTATTTCTGTAGAGACAGGGTCTTGCTATGTTGCCCAGGCTGTTCTTGAACTCCTGAAGTCTTTTAAACAGACAGGAAGTTTCCTACTTTTAAATTAGACTTACATCACTAGCAATATTCCTTGAACTTTTTGCAGCAACAATTGGGATGGCATCTGGTCTCAAATCATAGCCCTTGGCAATGGTTTTCTTCCAATCTGCTTTATAATGAGCCTTCAAAAAAGTAGAGGTTATTTTATTATTTGACATCATTAAAAGAGGAATGAAACAGAATGCCAAAATGTTTCTTATAAAACATGTCATAATAGATCCCTTTCTATTAAGACAATCTATGAAGTTAGGACTATTAGTTTGTCTTTTATGTATATATTTGATTTGATTTAAAAGGATCAGTAAACTGTATACACAGTATAATCTCAACTGATCAAAAAATGTATATGCTTGTATAACAAAGCAACAGAAAGGTAATGCTTTGACTGTTGGATAACAGAAGATTTTCATTTATTTTTCATAATTTTCTATATTTTCCAACTTTTCTATAATATAAAACACTTTTGGAAAAAAGTTTCTTGTAATGAAGCATTTCAAGCTTATAGAAAGATATGAATACTAAAACTAAAAATCCAGATGTAGTAACAACTCAGCTTTAATTGATCTTAATGCTTAAATATTACTTAGAAAATGCTTAAATTTTACTTGTAAAAATTTTTTACAACAAAAAAATTTTGTCACTTTTGACATTAAATTGATACTTTCTATAATAGTTGTTTATCTTAAAGCATTTTTCTCAAGTCTCTTACTGTATTATGAAGCCTAATAAACTAGAAATGATCACGCTTTAGAGTGCATTATGCACTTTAAATGAACCAAAAGCACAGGAATGTATAGTTGGATATGAAACAGAGCCTAAAAACATTGGAAAGAATGACTAAGCCATCTTTTAAGAAATTAACAATTTATCCAAGTTTTATTGTGTTTTAAAATTAGGATTTTTTTAAAAAAAAAAAAAAAAGGAAACAATTCATAATAGTGGATTTAAACATTACCACCAATTAGATGTCTAGACTACTCAAGAGAGAGGTTAGTTACATACAAAAAAAAAGAGTTTGTGAAGAAAACTAAACTGTTTTGGATGTTTTAATAAATAATTAAAATAAAAGTTGTAGAAAGCAATGTTTTCCGTACTGCAGACTAGGCACTCTTGTGTTTTCCAATCTTGTCTGTCTCATGGTCTTTTTTTTTTTTTTTTTCTTTTAATAGGACACAACTTACTTGACTGACTTTACAACCCACTAACGAGTCACAGCCCATAGTTTGGAAAAGTCTGTATTAAGCAAAATTTTATTGTGGCCCCGTAGGCTCATGTTGTATGGTTAAGGGTTTAATGTGGAGGCTCAGGGTCCACACTGAGTTGCGCCTCCTACAATTCTCAGGGCAAGAGTTGCAAAGAACCAGAAAGGAGAGGCCCACATAGGCAATATTAGCACCAGGCCAAATACTCACGTCACTCATGTTGAGGGCGTTGACTTTGGCTTGAATAAACTGAGGCAATTCGGGGTCAATAGTGTACTTGTGCTTCAGTTTCTCTCCCTCCACCTTGTAGTTCAACTAAAAGCAAAGGAGACAGCATGCACATATCATTAGCTGACATAATGTAAATTTCATCAAGCACAGACTCCTTTGAAAAGGAAGGCTATCATTTGTGTTTTCCATTTATGAGACAAACGCCTACTCTGTCATGAGGGAGGGGCCCTGGTAGATGCATTTATGTTCGCATTCTACCACTATTTATTGGACAGCACTGTTGGTCAGGCAGGGTGGTAAGTTCTGTGTTTAAAGAGGTAAGGAAGGCAGATCTGTCCTGTTGGAGATTATTGTCCAATACAAAGGACAGACATAAAACATGTAAACTACAAACTATCACTAGAATTTGTGATGTGTTATCAACGGAATAATTGTAGCAAAGAAACAAGGATGGTCAGTAAAGCCACTCTGCAGAGGTAACATTTACGCTCAAACTTGGAGAGAGGGGCAGAGGAAGAGCATTCGGGACCCGAGGCTGGAAATGTGCCCGGGTAGACATGGGGGTGGGGCAGTATTAGACAGAAAGTGCAGAAGGGTCCACAGAGAGGGGGGTCTTTTGTCAAGTTGATGAGTTTAGATTTCACTTCACATTCAAGAAATTCCTGAGAGGTTTTACACATAAGAGGGACATGCTTTGATTCGTGTTTTAAGACAGGCTCTCGTGGCTGTTTGAGACCATAGGCAGGGGAGTCCAGATAACAGGTTATTGCAGTTGTCCACACGAGCCACACAGAAGCTGGAAGTAGGGTTGGTGGCATTTGGGAGCAGGCTGGCTGAGAGATATTTAGGAAGCTGACTCAGCAGAGGTACTGGATGTGGGAGTTCACACAGGGAGGTGTTAACGGTGACTGCCAAGTTTCCAGCTTGAGTAACGAGGTAGATGTTGATAGCATTTATTGTGATGGGGAAGACTTTATATAGTGAGTGTACAGTTTGCCTAGCTAACTGGAAAAACACCACGAGAAGCGACATCTCGCTCAGTACAAAAGAAATCAAAAGAATTGACACCATTTATTACCCCTAAGATAGAATTAACCCTTAGACATCTGTGATAATGTGGGGGCAGGAGCTAAAATCCATAGATCTCAAATCGCAGGCAAGCAAAGCATTTCCCCACCTTCCAAAGTCTGGGGCTGAAATACAAAAAGTCTTTCTTGGCTTTTTACTTACCCCTCTCTTTCTGGTGGAGGCATTTTAACAGAACTCTAAAATTAACATGTCATGTGAGGCCCTGAGCATTATAATTAGCTTCTGACAGAAAGAATAAGAGTCCATATAGACGTGGTCTCAGAATGAGATCCCAGACGACTGCAAATAAACTGCTTATCTCCTCCCCAGAGGCCTCATTCTAAGATTGCCTCTCAGAACATGCAGCTATTATGCGAGGGGATTAGGACATTATGCCTCTTCCCTCTGTGGCTAGGTAGAAATATTGCAACCCAGAGCAATAAATAACTTGCTTTACAATTCATACAGAGCCACAGATAATAACAGTAATAATGTCATTTCATATGTATAATGCGTATCTGCTTATGAATAGCACAGGCTCTCTACGTTTGGAAAACAAAGCAAATTTGGAATAGTCCCGCATGTTCATCTCCCTATTTTTCCCATGTTCAAGATCCCAGTTGCTTCAAAAGGCAGCCCTTTCTCTCATACCTATGAAAGCAGTTTATTTGCTAACATAGATGCATCCTCACGCATTGAATTAAGAAGGATGGAGGAGCGGCTCAGATACGTGTGGTTATTTACGGGCAAATACTTTTGAAAGCACTCACATCACTTAGCTGCTTTGTGTTATGCTGAGCCAACACCATGCCCATGGAATCAGGCAAACTTGTGAACTTGATGGTATCTGGGTGCTGTCGATACTTCTTCTCATTTAATGCATCGCCTGCTTTCTTGACCTTCTCCACCTCCAGGGAACCAATAGGGATCCATCCGATGCCCTTGAAGAAGCTGTTATACTCGTCTTTATACACATTCTGTAAAAGGGTAAGCTCATATGAGAAGATACCCTGGAGACTATTCAAGGGATGTTTCTGGGATCTGCAACTCTATCCAAGGGAAATGAATAGCAACTCTTCAGCATGCTCATGTCTGACTGTCTGTCACAGAGCTTATCTGGAGTGTGGTAAGAAGAAGAAGCTGTTCTGTTGTTAGAGTGCATTATACAACACAGAAGGGAATCTAGGTCACGTATTTTCATGGGTACTACTAAAAAAAATTTTTTTGTCACTTTTGACAATAAATTGGTACTTTCTATGATCATTGTTTATCTTAAAGCATTTTTTCAAGTCTCTTACTGTACTATGAAGCCTAATAAAACAGAGAGAAATGATCATGCTTTAGAGTGCATTATGCAACACAGAGGGGAATCCAGGTCACTATGGGTGCTGCTAAAAAATATTTTGTCACTTTTGACAATAAATTGGGTTTTCCTTTTGATTCCACTGAAGACTTCAAAACTAAATTATATCCATACTGTCCACCTAGGCTATGCTTGAGCTCATCTGGGGATCAATATTTTCATCGAGTGCCAATAAATGTATAGCACTTCTTCCCTTTACAGAGGGCAGTTCTAACAGAAATCTGGCTTCTGCAGCAGGAGATGCTGTGAATGTTAAACACCTTTCCGTGCAACTCTCCATGAATCATGTTGCAAGCAAAAAGTATTCCTGATTAATTTCAGATGACTCATTACAGAGATTTACATGGATGACATTGTGACCTTGAGTTAACAAAGGGAAAAAAAAAAAGCACTTTCCCAGATTCAGGATGGATAGAAAATTCTTCTATTTTGCATTTTATATCTATCACCATTGCGGCCAATCCATCAGGAATACCCATCTCCTCTTGCTGAGAATCAAAGTGGCTCGCAGAGTTAGTGGAATATAGTTTTATCTTTCATCCATAAGTTAAAGACAACATCAATGATTATGATATGAGCACAGAAAGCAGGCAAAAACAGCTTGTCTACCATGCCTTTGGCAGTCTTTCAGTAATGGTTGTTTATTCTAAAGCACATTTTTCAAATAGCTTACTGTAGTAAGAAGTCTAATAAAAGCGAGAAGTGATCACCCTTTAAGTGCAAACATCTCTGGGTCTGTTGTTGCACATACTTACATCACTCTGAATTTGATTGACATTCCTTGTATGCTCAAGACTCAGGGCGTCAGGTAGGTATGTATAATGATGCAATGGCTGTTTGTAGTTTACATTGGTAGCGACATCCTGGGCCATCTTTGCAGCTGTGATGCTAACCATGTCCCCAGGGGTATGGTAGCTGGTTTTGGTGTTCTCATAGTTCTTCTTGTATTCACGATCGGACTGCATCTTTGCCACATTCATATAGTGGACCAGCTTGGGATCATCCTGGAGGCTTCTGAAACCCACATGCTTTCCCTTTGCCTTCTCATAAGCTTCCTTGTATTTATACTGTGGAGGCAGAATGGGGTTAGCAAAGCCCTAGGCATTGATAGCATTCGTGCTGCAATTACATTCACATATAAAGGCACTCAGAACTTTGTGACTTTCTCAAGAGCGCACAAAAAATGCAAACCACAACCTCCTCCAAAAGGTTCAGTGAAAACATATATTGGAGTTACAAGCGAGTGTCACGATAAATTCAAGATCAGTTTATTTTCTTTACTATGACTCCTACAGATGGATTTGCATGTGAAACTTTATTTTAAACAAACTGAATTTTCACACTTAATACAAACATGACACATTCTAAATATAAGACCAGTATCTCTTGGTTTCATAGGTTTCAATTTAATATGTTATTTACATCACAAATATGAGTACCAGCTGGGCCTTCACTGACTCCGTTTATCAGCAGCTGCTTCCCAAGCTCACTGCTGAAACAGTTGCAAATGAATTAAGGAGCCACAGTAAGGGCAGGACCTGCTGTGGGGTTTTCCCATCAATAAAAACCTAATGGAAAAAGTTCTGCTGTCCAAAGTCTCTCACTGCTGGAATCAGCAATGGAATATAGGCTGAGCAATCTTGTAACAGGTCAGAACCTCAATTGTTATGCAAGAGAATTCAAACCCACTTAAACCCTGCAGACTTTCAGCTCCTGCAGTTTAAGCCTTAATTGATAAACAAGAGTTTAACAGGCAAAAGGATTGTCAAGTAATTTCTAGGCATGTGAAAAATTACTGTGCAAATGCTTAAAAAAAAAAAGGAACAAAGTTATAAAGTTATGCTGTAGACTTTCACTTTCTACTTAAACTAGAAATGTATTTCATAGTGATGTGCATTGTGTGCAGATCTTTGAGGAAGATGTTTTCAGTACCATTCTGATAAGGAAAGCGGTAGAGTTTTTACACCCCTAACACCTATGTGGTCTGTACATCTGGTTGGTTTCTTTCTTCTCTTTTCTCAAACCAAGATTTTAGTCCCTGGGTAGCATGTAATAGTGAACTCTGCAGGGCATGCATGCTTTCTAAAAATTTTTCTTTTTCTTTTTTTTTTTTGAGACGGAGTCTCACTCTGTTGCCCAGGCTGGAGTGCAGTGGTGTGATCTCGGCTCACTGCAAGTTCCACCTCCCAGGTTCATGCCATTCTCGGGCCTCAGCCTCCCAAGTAGCTGGGACTACAGGTGCCCGCCACCATTCGATCTCCTGACCTCGTGATCCATCCTCCTCGGCCTCCCAAAGTGCTGGGATTACAGGTGTGAGCCACCGCACCTGGCCAAAATTTTGTTTTTCAAAGATGGAAAGGAGTAGAAGTGTTACAGGAAATGGGCATCAATTTACATGAATCGAAATTATATCCTAAAAAAGTGGACTTTTCCCCCTTTGGTTTATAAAAATCTGTACATTTTATATAACATCTTTTCAATTTTTTAATACAATTATAATGCAGGCAGTCATTTGAATGTAATGTGGTAATGTCAGTCAGGGTGTTCCCACTGAAAATAAATGTGGGCTGTCAGGGAAATGTGTCAGTGAAGGCAATTTGGGCTGTGAATCAAAGGAGAAAGCCACTGTCAGATTTATGACAGCTCTACCAAGTGGAGTCAACTGAAAAGAACCACAAAAGTGTTTCTAAAAGCGACAGGTTTTCCAAACAATATTTTGAGAATTTAAATGCCATTAATTTAA